TACTTTGATTTAAAATTACATGCGTTGGATTGCTTGGGCAGCAGGTAGACATTTCGTGTGTGAGCACAGAAAATCACTTTATTAGTTACAGCACTTGCATTTTTCGGGATGTCATTTTATACTGGCCAGAACCTTTTTAAAACTTTTCAGTGTTTATTTTCTTACCACATACCAATTTATCAGCGATTTTTAGCGAGACGTGTTTCACAGAAATTTATAAGCAAGATCACACCTTAATGAACAGGTATGGAGCCAAAGAAGGCCAAACAAGGCCAAATATCAGGTTGGTATCCAAAGTGCTCCCCGAACCTAGAAAACTATTTCTAAGCAAAAGGTCACATGCTCAGCTAAGGTCGGTGACCTTGTTTGACCTTTTGAAGATCATGGTAACCAAAATCACACAAGACTGCCCCGAGTTTTGCATTTGAATAAGGGACAAAGACTGCGCTTGGTAGTATGTTCTTTAAAAATATCGACCTGGGGCATCTTAGGTCAATGACCTATTAGAACCTCTAAGAAGTCAAACGAAAATGCATGATGCGGTTCATGCTATCAATATATTCAAAATGAGCACCGGAAAATACCAAGCCCTAGCTCTAGAGCAATAAAACAGGTTCGTTTTGACTTTGGTCAGACCTTCATACGTGACCTTTGGTTAACTTAACTTACTCATTCAATGCCTGTGTTGCCATATAAGGCATCTCAAAGATGTAAAGCTTTGTCAAACACTCTGTTGTTGCATAAGATTGAACGATTCCCTAGAAATTGACTTTGCTGAAACCATGGCCTGATTTTGACCTGCCGTAGGTCAGTGACCTTAAAAGGTGCATCTAAATTTCTTGCATTAAACACTCCGTTATTTAATTGTGAACAGCTCTGAAAATTTGGCGCGGCTACGCCGCGCCGTTCGGAAACCATTCTGGAAAACCTTCGGGGGGGATCAATTTCACCCCCGCCCGAGCGCGTGTTAAAACCCGTCTTACTCCACGCAGCAACGATGTGAACAATAATGGGGCAGCCGGCATCCGACGCCCTCGACTGATGCATACTGCTGATTCCTGGGCCTAGTATTTTCCTAGTTTGTGGGTGAACTTAAGGTATGGGCTTGAGAAATGCCTTTGAACCATCTCGTTAAATATCAAGAACATGTTCTTAGTTCGATACATATGCTTCCCCTATTGCATGCTGAGGAATTTTCATAAACACAACTTTTTCCTTATCAGTGAGTCTATCATGTACTATAGCTCGATAAAACATAAAAAACTTTTTTTAAATTGAGAAAGCTTTTCAGTGCATTTATCTATCGTGCAAAAGGTCAATACAATAAGGTTAACAATGGTCGGAAAAATAACAATACAACGGTAAGGGTATGAATTTGGGTTCAGTTTTGTTCGTGATATGACTCGTTATTTCAAAAGCCCCAAAATGTGTGTTGTATGTGTAATTATAGACCAACTTTTGAGTAATTTTTCGGCAATCCATGTGTCTTCAACTGGAAGAAGTTGATTTTGGCAGGAAGTCTTATTCTTAATATTTTGGCAGCAATCGCGTTGCCCGACAGCGTTTGCAAAACATTTTAGATACTCCTCACTCCAAGCACCTCACCAGTCCTTCACAGTAGCGGCGACACACCCCCTCCGCCCCGAACAACCCGACATCGTAGAGCGTTAAGGTGCTCGATTTACATATAAAGTGACTATTTCAAACGGAGCGAAAAGGTAGTTTTAAACACTACTAACGGATATATTTACACCAAGAATGCGTAGACTCTGCTGAGGCCTCATTGGATTTGAAATATCTACGCCTGCTTTGCAATAATGTATACTTTACTCATCCCCAGATTCTCGAATGATAAAGCTGCCATACATCAAACAAGTCGCTTTCATAGTTGTTTCTTCACTTTAAAACCGTCCACAACAAAGGCATTTTTTCGTCATTTCTGAGCAATAAATTGCGAGCGAACGGGCTGAACTAGGAAACGAGGGTAACTCTAAATCTTTCCCCGCCGTCAGCGCTTTACTGGCCGCGATCAAGGCTGCTGCTAAGCTCCAGGCTGTTCTGTTGGTGGCCGTCCATCACTTTAATAGGCATTTGTCGCCATAACTCTTCGCCCCCCGTTGTCGCTGGCTTAGTATCTCTGGTCGCGATGATTTATCGTTAAGTCCAGAAATTGGACTGCTTTGTGTTCCGGGCGAGGCGGTCGATGTCCCATTCCAGCATGGGAATAGCAATGGCCGGTCCTGCTCTAGTGCTCCGAGTCCTTGAGACATTCAGTCCAGCACAAAAGGATTGCGCACCAGACACTGGCCATTTACTTTTTGCAATCCCACGTGGAGTCCAGCACGATATAACTCGTGGAATGAAATTGTGTGTTCTTTTGTGAAACTGAACACAAGCAGACGGGGCAACAACTGAAAGCGAGGTGTCCAATACACTAACCACGATGTCTGTCATGTCGACAGCAGCCGCACCGCACCCGAGCGCGGCTGGTCCAGGCCCCCGCCCCAGACGAGCAACCGATCCGCTGGCGGCAGTGGGCGCCATGCCCCCTCACCTGTAGCCGTACTGGATGTTGTCGCCCGCAGCCGCCCCAGGTCCACTCGGGGTCGAGGTCAGCCGGTCGTGCTGACCGGGAAACAGCCCGCAGGAGGCCAGCTGACCATCCCGACAGGCGCGCGACACCGACATCACCACACCGGCGGCCGCGATCGAGTGCGCGAACGCCGCCTCCCGGGACGCTGCCGGAGATCAGGTCAGGTCAGGTCAGGTCACCACACCGGCGGCCGCGATCGAGTGCGCAAACGCCGTTTCCCGGGACGCTGCCGGAGATCAGGTCAGATTAGGTCAGGCCACCACACCGGCGGCCGTGATCGAGTGCGCGAACACCGCCTCCCGGGACGCTGTCAGAGGTCAGGTCAGGTAAGGTCTGGTCAGGTCAGGTCAGGTCAGGTTGTCACACCGGTGTACCATGGTGTGAGCGAATGCCGCCTTCCAAAACTTTGTCGGAGGCCAGGTCAGGTCACCTGATCAGCGGCCGCGATGTAGTGCGTGAACGCCGCTTCCAGAGACGTTGCCAGAGCACTGGCCAGGTCACCACAATGACGACGGATTTTGACATATTGCGACGTCTCCAGGGTGCAGCTATTTCCGGACGTGAAGTCTTCAGAGCACGCCAGGTGATGTAACTGCCCAACGGGCATATTTTGGATGCATTTGTTTCATATTCCTTTCGTTGCATCTTTACTTCGGTTAGCCTTCGCACTGGAGCTACGCATTAAAGTTGTCATCGCTCTACCTTTTCCACTCTTGAGCAAGACTGACGTGGCTAAATGGGTAGCTTTTGGGCCCCTTCCCC